GTTCTCTTGGTGTTGGACGCACATGACATTGTTGTTGGTAAGTGGAACTGGCGTTGGCATGTTGGCGCGGTCCTTCAATCAGATGGAATTTGTCAGAGGTCCGTATTTCCGTCTAAACGAAACATGCCTTTCGTCTCCAATATGGCCAGCCCCATCTTGGGCACATTGTGCTTCGGGTGGGCGTGGACGAAATCACCTGCTACCAAGGTCTAGCAGGGGAAGGTAATTTAGAGGAGACATGGTCCAGGCCGCAGCGGCAGAGATGTCGGTGCTCGTGGAGCTGATTGACCTTGCTGGTGGCCCGGAGATCTCGATGACGTGGACGAACCATTCCCCCTCCATGGCCTTGAGAAGCACGACGATCATGGCGACGAGCATGCGCACGTTGAAGCTAAGGGCCTAGTTGCCTTGGGGACGGTCCATGCTAGGGGGAGGCAGCAACGAGCGAGAGGTTGTCCTCCCAGACAGTGTGATGAAACATAGCCAGTTCAGTCGTGGCATGGTGGCTAGCTGTTGGTGAGCTGCCAAACATGAGAAGACGAGGGAGGTGGGGCTAGACCCCTCAACAAACTGCTACTTCTTCAGTGGTAGTGAACTAGTAATAGTGGTGGTTGCCGCCAATTTCTCTCACGCCATGAGAGCTTGCCCCCTCCATGAGCAAACTCGCCCCTTTATGTGTGAATCCTGGCTCTGCCCCTAAATGCATGTGATGCGTGTTTGTGCATGTTCTGTGCATCTGTTGCGCCGAGGGCACACACATTGTTCAAAATTAGAACAGAGAGCAAGGCTGTACAAATGGAAGAGATGATTTTCCAAGAGGTCTATGTTTCTTTAGTTGTCGAGGGGTCTATATTGTGGTGGTCGAAGTGACATGCTATCTAGACAACGCGGGTTGGAGATCAAATAGGAACTGGGATGTGCATTTTAAAAGACTTACGACCTAGGTTTCTTTGATTACCTTAACATGTGGAGAACAAAAAATTAGGACCTCCGGTGACTTAAGATAAAGCTGACATCGTCTCATTTTATGTGCCTTTATTTTATCCGCATGAGACCTAGGTTTCTTTGATTAAAAGAATTTTCCTGAATGTTGACTCATTAGAATAAGAACGTTGCTATAGACCCTGTTAATCAAGCCATTGGTGCGAGGAAGCAAACTACAGGACATCGTCCGATTTCGCATCGTTCATAAATCAGCCACGCACCCATTGTGTGCAAAGTAATTTTGTTAGAATAATCCTTAAGAATTATTTCTATGTGAATTGTTTGATTGCATGATTGAGTCCTATAAGTTTTCTTCGGGAAATGATAATTGGCGAAAGTCAGATTTTTTGGGATCCAGTGAACGCCCTCAAATCCGTCGGATCACGATCAAATGAATGGCATTTTCTCTATGCAATGTGGCAAGTTTGTTGTCTTTTTATGCTACATGGCAATTTTCACCTCCACAAACCCTACAAAGTTATCATGGCAACTTAGTTGATTAGGCATGACAAGCTTGACAAACGCTGAGGAAGAAAACACTCAGATATTGCGGTCCTTTTTTTCCTTTAGGTTTCTTTATATACCCTAAATTTTCTATCTATTCATATATTTTGGGAAGAGTCATTTGTTGTAACTATATCCCCTATTTGATTGATAGGACTCTCAAGGCGCATAAATAAGAAAAATATAGGAAGCCAGTGTCATGCCCACTTAGAGCCCACTCTAAGTGTACATGATTAATTATAGTGTGACAATTCTTTTGACTGCGTCCAGAAAAGCAAGAACTTTTTTCCATCTAAGAGTATATGCAACTGGACCCATCAAGCTCCTCTCAAATGTTCGGATGGACAACCCAGTCACTACCCAGTCCGGGAAAAAGTCACTCAATTGGATCCCGCATAGCCAACCCAAATGTCCGCACTGATCGGCACTCCTTCAAACGCAGCCCATATGTGGGGCGAGTATACAGACGCCCGGCCCGTCCTATCTCAAATCCGCTCCAAATTGATCGCCTCTCTCCCACCTCAGTCCTCCCTTTCCCGCGTTTGAGCCATCTCCCTCCTCCACCCTTGCTCCATGTTCGCGCCGTCGTTCTTTGTCCACTGCCTGATTCCGTGATCCTAGATGTTGACACTGAGTACCCCATCCCCCATCACTGCCATGGAAGATGCCTCGGCGAAGTCTATGAGCGCCCCGGCTGTCCCAACTTGGAGAAGCAAGAGAAATATGCAAAAAAGAGAGCATGGAAATGCGACGACAATGCAAGGAATCGAGCTCAAGAGAGAGAAGTTGATGCTTGCGAGGGAAACCGAGGAGTCAAGAATCATGTTGTAGGACGCTAGCCTCTTGGATGAGGAAGATAAGAAGTGGTTCATCAACATGAAGAAGAGGATCAACGAGCGCATCAGTGAAGATGTTTGATTCATTCGTGTATCGCCTATTTGTATATAAAAAGGATCAACGAGTGCAAGAATGGAGACATTTGATTCATTCATGTGTCGCCTATCTATGCATGAATTGTTGAATTTTATTTTGGCATGTGTTGAATTGTTGAATTATGGTTATTTTGCTTTGTCAATTCGTTGAATTGATGACGAATTTGTGTTATATAATGGGCGTGCATGATTTTGCAAGAAAATGAGAGTTTGGATACTAGGAGTGTGATTGTCCAGGAGGAGAAATGAGGGTCCGCTGTCAGCAAAAGTGTCCGAATGCTCCCGCGTACATTTAGGGAGCGGATTTGTCAAGTCTGATTGTAGATGGTCTAAGTAGTTGTATTTTTTTTTCTTAAGGGGAGCCTTGGCGCAGTGGTAAAGCTGCTGCCTTGTGACCATGAGGTCATGGGTTCAAGTCCTGGAAACAGCCTCTTACAAAAATGTAGGGAAAGGCTGCGTACTATAGACCCAAAGTGGTCGGACCCTTCCCTGGACCCTGCGCAAGCGGGAGCTACATGCACCAGGTTGCCCTTTAAGGTAATAACATCAGTGGTGTCTGAACTTGCCATGGATATTCACTTTAGTGTCTGAACTTGAAAAATACGTCAAACTGGTTTTAAAACTTGGCATAAACGTGCAAATACGATGCTAATTCTATTTATAGACGTAAAGTGTGCTGACATGTTTAGCTGAATACCATGTCTGTATGACTACTGGGTCCTGCCCTGTCAGTGATAATGAAAACTAGTGGAAAAACTGTGGGCACCAGGAATCAAACCTACACCCTTATGCGTGTACACTTGCTATGCTAGCCACTCTACTGGACAGATCTAACTTGATAACTGTGGCTCCTTCGTTTTAACGTACTGTAAGGTAAACATTTGCGCTATGTAAATACTTCCTCCGTTTCTAAATATTTGTTTTTCTAGAGATTTCAACAAGTGACTACATACAGAGCAAAATAAGTGAATCTACACTCTAAAATATATCTATATACATCCGTATGTGATAGCCATTTGAAATCACTAAAAAGACAAATATTTTGAAACGGAGGGAGTAGGTTGGAGTCAGTGTGGCCAATTTAACACATGTTATTAAAAACCGATCTATAAAATATCTGTAAATTATAAATCACAGTAATACAAATTAAGTTCACATATTCACGTGGTATTAACAGTTATAAATTTTATCAAAAAATTAAATAAATAACTTTTATAAATGTTCATGTAATTTTAAAAATATTAATGTACTATTTTTAAAACATTCAGATAATTGAAATAATATATAGTATTAAGTATAAATATCTTTGTATAATATAAAATATTAAAAATTTCTTTAAAAAATTACAGTTTGTAAATATTATTTTCATTATTCATACATTTGAATAATTATACATCTACATATTTATTTTATCTGTGCATGGAAATTTGTGTACCACGAGGTGTACCACAAATATTTATAACCCATGACATGGCATGGGGCTTGGTTTATAGATTTTTCAAAATAATACATGCACATGAATATTTATTACCATGAAATAATTAATAATACTACATGTTTATTTGAATCTAAGTTTATTATTATGATTATAATATATTGATGTTAACATGTGCAAAATGCAGAGTGGTACAGTTTGTATTACTACGATTATAATTTAAGCAGACTTTTACAATTTTTGTAAAAAAAAAAGTACTAAATGGGTCGTACTAACTGCAGCCCATTTAAGCAACACATGCATTTTAACTTACAGTACAGTAATATAAGGGGCCATATTTGGGAGATAAAGCGTTTGGATGGAGTGGCTACCACATGACACTAGCCTACTTGATGTCGCAGGTTCAAATCCTATTGGGCCATAATATTTTTCTTTCAATTTTCCTTATGAACTGACAAGCAGGACCCACTAGTCATATAGACATGGTATTCTCTAAAAATCTTTTTTCGTCTCTACAAGTGGGCCCCATGCGAAGTCAGCCAAATATGGTGCCACGTCCGCACAGTTTACGTCTACAAATGAGATTAGTACCGTATTTGCATGTTCATGCTAAGTTTGAGAACCAGTTTAATGTATTTTTCAAGTTCAGGCACTAAAGTGAACATCTATGGCAAGTTCAAGCACCACTAGTGTTATTACCTCTTTTTTCTTTGAAACATAGTGCAAACAAAATCATTAAAAAAGGAATTTATAATCCTACAAAGCAAATAGTCCACGTAGAAAAATCATAACAATCTATCCTCCAAAGCTCATAAGAAATCCTTTGAATCAAGGGAATCAAATAGATTAACATATTTTCTTTGGAACATAGACTAACATCTTTTATATACTCTTTCCGTTCCAAAATAGATGACTCAACCTTATACTAACTTTAGTATAAAGTTACTATAAAATTGAGTCATCTATTTTTGAACGGAGGGAGTATTAAATAAAGTTAAACAAATTGAATCCAATCTTGGCCCTCCACTCTCCAATGAGAGCATGAGGATTTAGCGTCACCGTTTTCTGTTCCTTCGGCCCCAAATCCCTATCCCAAATTTCCAAGGAATCATGGCGCGCTGCTCCCCGCCGCTGCTGCGCCGCTTCTTCTGCTGCGCCGCCAAATCCGCCTCGGCCACATCCGCCGCCGCCGGCACCAAGAAGAAGAACATCGTCTTCTTGGGATCTCCCCAGGTACCACCTCCCGCAAACTCCCAGCGTCCAGTCCAGTGTCTCATTCGAGGATTCGGATCGCGCCTTAGGTCGCTGCCTCGGTCCTGGACACGTTGTTGGCCGCGTCCAGCTCCCCCGACTCCGCATTCCAGGTCGCTGCCGTCGTGACACAGCCGCCGGCCGCCAAGAACAGGGGGAGGAAGCTGTTGCCGTCGGCCGTCGCGCAGCTCGCGCTCGAGCGAGGGTTCCCTGGCGACCTCATCTTCACCCCCGAGCGCGCTGGGGAGGTGCTTTCTTCAGAACCGTTCTCCTAGTCTTCTCCAAATCGAGGCTATTGTGGTGCCGAATGTAGGAGGATGTGCAGCTCATAGTGGTTTGTCTTGCAATGCAGGAGTCCTTTCTGTCTGACTTGAAGGGGGTGAGACCAGAACTTTGCATCACTGCTGCTTACGGGAACATTTTGCCACAGAGGTTTCTTGATATCCCACCATGTGGTAAGTCCAGAAATCTGTCTGTCAAATTGCCAGCATTGCCATCGTTTTAGTCAAATTGCACGTTCAAACAGTAATGCTAGTTCACTAGGAATCCAGCAACATTTACTGAGATTTTGTTCTTGTACTTTACTACTTAGTTCACTATACATGTTTGCTTGACTTTGGTAGTTTTGTTGCAGTGGCTCAAAACCAAATCAGGTCTTTTTGTGTCTATTTCATACGGTATTGGTACCGCACATTAACCCATTTTTGTAATGGTTGCAATATTTATGGAATCCACCCATTCCCCAAATATCCACTCCTCATATCAGCTTATTGCATGCTAGCATCATCATTCATACGACTAGGAGAACTAATGGTTACCAGAGAGTTGCCACCGATCACTCGATGTCCATACATCACCATTATTAGGCAATACATTTACAAATAATTTCAAATCAAGCTTTGTCGGATGATTCATGCTAGATCTGATTCTGCTCTGGTTCCCCACAAACCGAACTTCCAGCCAGTACCAGTCAAGCTTAGGGGAACCAGTGTTACTAACCATACCCTGCCAGGAAACAATATGTGGCACAATGAATTTTGCTACAAAAATGTTGTTTGGAAACTTTGAACCCTGATCATTTGTCATGTCTCCTTGTATACCAGGTACAGTTAATATACACCCAAGTTTGTTGCCTCTATATCGCGGTGCAGCTCCTGTGCAGAGGGCATTGCAGGTCTGTATGATGCACCTGTTACAATTCTGAGCCAGTCAAATTACGACATATACCCAAGTTATCAACTATGTCTGTAGGATGGTGTTGCAGAAACAGGTGTTTCCCTTGCATATACTGTCCGTGCCTTGGATGCAGGTCCAGTGATTGCTTGCGAAAGGTTTTCTGTCGATGAATGCATCAAGGTAGATAATATTTGTTCTTGTGCCAGTTTGAGGGACCATCTTGACTGCTATGCAAAAGCAGTTCTGCAAGTCTTTGACACTGTCATATGTTTACTGAAATCATTTTGTGCTGATGCTAATAGTTAGAAAAACTGAGGCTTCTCGCTTGCTATTCTTTATAAATTATAACCATCATTTCGGGATTCCTTTCTTGGTAATGAAAATAGATGCTCGTTGAATGAAAATAGTTCGAATGCACTATCATACTTTTAGTGTGGTGTCTGTCTGTGTTCATGAGGACTGATTAACATTGGAAACTTTTCATGGAGCACCATATTTAAACTGGCATGATATGTTATTTGTTTGCTAATTTACTGGATGATGCTTCTGTGCAAGGGTTGGGTTAGTTCATGTTAGAAGCTGAAGATAATTTAAATTTCAGATGATGCTGTGCTGTTTGATTATCATCTTTACATAGTGTCGCGTTTGATAAACTTTTATCATTTTGTTTGTAGGCACCAGAGCTGCTTGCTATACTATTCAATATAGGTATAAACTCAAACTGATCATATTCCATCACTAAAGATATGTATATATCTCTTCCATGGTCATTACATGGAGTTGGTCTTCCTACTGGCATACCTCTCTTAGATAGACTTGATTAATTGATTATGCTTTACAATTCACAGAGAAACAGGTTGAATATCTTAAGAACATTTTAGAATAATTTTGAACTATTCAGACTTGGTAATTTTGAAGTTGTATTAATAGGGTCCAAGCTACTGCTGGATGAACTACCATCCGTTCTTGATGGTTCAGCTAAGCAAAAGGCAAAGCCACAAGATGACTCCAAAGCTACACTGGCGCCCAAGGTAGTAATGGACAGGAGTGGCTACAAAGATATTTTTCTTTTTTCCTTTTTAATTGATGCAACTCAATTAAGTATTTTGATATGCAGATGGGTATAGAATTCCTCGGTACTAGTCTTTGTCAAAATTCACTAGTAAAAAAAATCTAACATCAAGCCTGATGCTATAAAGTTAATCATCATTGACCGAAATAAATAATAAACAAGTTGCATGAGCTTTGGGAAACGTCCTGCTGCAGTTTAGTTCATATGCGATGACTTGCTAAAATCCTTATCAAATTCACTGTTTGCTTCCAAGTGCAGCTATAAGCTTATGTGGGGAATTGCAAGCCCATTTGTTGCGATCACCTGATCATTACTCCACCCTGTGTCTCTAAAGTTCATCTGTAACTCTATACGATGTGTACTGAAGTTCTGTTAGGGCATATTTCTTCGTATATTAGTATTTGTATGGTTGTAACTAGCATTCTTTTTAATTTGTTCCAATAATGCACTTGCTGAGACTGGAAAACCTTAATCTACTGGCACTTCAAGCCAACTAATTTATCATGAAAACATCTGTTTCCAGATGAATTCGGACGAGTCCTGGCTGACATTTGACGAAGAAGCTAAAGTTCTCCATAACAAGGTGAGTTTTCTGAATCTTTAATTAATGTACTCATGGAAGCTATTGCCAACCAACTCTGGTAGGTGCGAGCATTTGCAGGATGGCCAGGAACCCGCGCAAAATTGCAACTTCTGAACCAAAATGGCGAAGCCGATATTCTAGACATCAAGGTTATCAGTACAAATGTTTCCACGTCCTGTGACAAAGTCGGAGACGAAAATGAAATACTATTCTCAGGGAACTCGCTGCTCGTTCCTTGCAGTGGGTCAACTTGGCTTGAGGTATGAACTCCATTTGGCATAACAATGACATTCTGCTTGTTTTGCTCATGGCCTTCTCAAATTTGTCTGTTGTCATGTGCATATTAGGTCTTGGAGCTTCAGCTACCTGGAAAGAAGGTAACCACGGCTCGGGACTTCTGGAATGGTTTGCGTGGTCAGAAGCTATTAAAATCAACATAAGAGAGAAATCTGCATTCATTTTGCAGCACATGTGCAAAGGATGCAAATGCCAAGACGGCCATATGCCGTGCTCGGTTTAGATGCATCTTGCAGGGTTAAAGGGTTGTTGACATTTATCCTTAGAGAAATTTGCAGGGGGCAAAAAGATGGTCTTAATTTTTGTAAAGAAAATTATTTAGATTTTGTGCCCTTACTTTCTTTTGACAAATCAATAATTTTCCAGATTGTCATCCTTGTCCGTATTATTTCCAGTTCTAGTAAAAGGAATACAATGTTACCTTGATTGATGGAGACAGAATAACGTTGGTTTCATCATTCGAGAATTCAATCATGATTGGCTGTGATTGCTAGGCTTCACAGACTGACAGTTGAAGCAATGAGGGGTGACTTTCGCAATGGCAAAGCATACATCCAAGAAGCCGATAACAAAACAGTCGACAGCTCCAAACGGCACTGTTGTATTCAGTTCAATTAGTATGTTTTCTGGTGAAACTGCAATAACCATTCACCTATTTAGAAACACAACATGGACAACTTTCAACGGTAAGTTTGCTAAACAAATCTTACACTGAATTAGTACGCAAAACATCGACCTGAACACAATGCTGCCTAATGTTACAACTCATAAATACAACGTGTGTATGAGTAGAACAGCAGATGTGGAAGTATACAGTATCCAGCATTTTAGCAAGGACTAACTTCATGTATTTGAATTCTGCCGCAGCTTCTCCATCCTTTCTCTCCATGACATCTTTTGCATTGCCAGAACCTAACAGAACTTTGTTTCATTAGTATCTTTTGGCACACGCCGAAATAAACAAAATGCATGGAAGAGCTAGGGGGGATTACTTCATCGCTAATGAGGGAACTGCTAGGTTGAGCTTCAACATCTTCAGCTTTCTTGCCTTCACCATTGGTTTTAAGCTCATCCTCAGATGTTTCCGTATCAACATTCGAAGACATAGGTACACCAAACATAGCCTCATCATGTGCATCTCTGACTATGTTCTCATTCTTTGACTATGACATGCAAACAACAAGGCATATACAAAATACGGCTGGTTAGGAACAAGTTGGAAAATATATAATATATAGCATTGTAAATTCACTATTTTATAGCACAAGTACCTCCACCGTAGAAAGTCGGAAGCTCTTCCCTATGTGCTTAACCAGTGTAGCATCATCATTAGCAACTAAAAAAGGAGAGCAGGGACAGACAAATTATGTGTTATCAGACAAAAAAATTGACATGCCAAAACGAAGGGTTCAAACTTCTGTGTAGAATCATACACCAAAGCTTCTTACAAGCTCAGGGTACTAAATATCTTGCATAGTGTAGAACAAGAAATATGCATTGCATCCTTCAAAAGATGCATACCAGAGCTCAATAAAGGTGTTGGTCGAATAGTTGACGTATTGCACTAGCTGTTGTAAATTATCGTCAATACAAACTACATAGTAAAGACACCACAGTATACTATATTCTCATATCCTGGGTGCTCCAAACCTGTATATTAACCAAGTGTAGCGGCATCAACTCTATAACAGACAAACTATATTCTAAGTCTGATCCAAACCCATTCTCAACTTTACATCAATAAAACCCTGATAGAACAATAGAACAAGAACAACCAAGTACACCATTTGGTCTCTTCACTACGTGTGCAAATTGTAACCGGAGATGGTAAACTATACACTTTCTCAGATGGAATTATACACATTGTGACAATTAGTCATATTGCCTTCCTAGAGCAGAGTGCATCTTGCAACACAGGTAATAAAAGGTAAATCGATTAAAAAAATGTGCTGATGAGAAATTTGGCTAGGGTGTGTAAAACATAATTAATTTTTCATGTGGGAAATTTGCTATATCCGGACTTGCAATGTGGGCTACACCTCTGAAGCACCAATACGTAGGAAACTGGTGTGTCCCTGTCCAGAACGGCGCCAATACGGCTGATACGGCCGCGATACGCGTATGGCCCGAGTATTATATTTTTTTGATTTAAAAAAAAAAAGAAAAAACGCCGATACGGGCTGTTCACTGCCCATGATACAGGGGAAAACGTCCAGCCCAGTACCAAACCTAGCATCTGTCCTCCTCTCTCTTTCACTCTCTTCGCCCGACAGGGGAGACGCGCATGAGCGAGCCGCCTCTGCCACCTGCCTGGACTTGCCTCACCGCCGCTGTCTGGACTTGCCTCGCCGCCGCTGCATACTGGCGCTCGCCGCCTGGAATCAGCTCGCTGCCCTGTTGACTCGCCAAGCCGCCGCCTCGACTGAATCGGTTTTCTCTGTCGCCGCCGTCAGTCGCCACCCGCCAGCAAGTAAGTAGCTCCGGCGAATACTGCTACTCTCTAGTTGATCTATCCATTCATCTGTTTGTCTTCAATCATTAGTGGCTACTACTTGCTACTGCTTGTTAGTTGTTACTCTAAGCTGGAGTACGAATTGAGCTATGCGTGGCTGGCTCGTGGCTGCTTGTAGAATATGTAGATTAATGTTGCTCGCTGATGTTGCTGCGTTGCTGCTACTGCCTACAGCTTGCTGATGTTGCTGCTTGGTGCTTGCTATTGCTTGTTACTGCCTACAGCTTGCTGATGTTGCTGCTTGGTGCCTGCTATTGCTTTGCTGCTAGCCTGCTACTGCCTACAGCTTATTTATGTTACTGCTTGCAATTGCTTTGCTAATGTTTATGTTTCCACTTTTCATGCTTCTCTATCTCAAATTATCAAGTCTAATATCATGTGATGTATTTTCTATTTTGCATACACCATGAGGAGTTGAGGACCTGGATGATCATTCAAGACTAGAAAAGAAAGAGGCATGAAGGCAATCAGGCAACCAATGGGGCGACATTTTGATCTCATCTCACACATTTCATTATGTTTGTTTTTATTACATGTCATTTTATTAATTATTTACATATACTCGCCGTATTGCCGTATTGCTGTTTCTAGAAATTGTCGTATCCCGTATCGCTGTATCGGTGTCGCCTTATCGGTGCTCCATAGGGCTACAACCTAAACTAGGATTACAAAATCCTAGCAGTGCTTCATATTCAAGTACCCAGCCAATATGAACTTTCAAAAACTAATATTGGATCCGTAGGTGGGTGTCTAAAATGGTACAAGAACTCGCTACACATATAGAGGGGGTAATCAATTCACTAAAAAAGACAGGAATCCTTATTGAATTCAAAGGCATCCATAAGAAGCCTGACCTTCAACATCATTGTCATCTTCATCAAGTGGAGCATCTTTGTTGAATTCAAACCTCCCCCAACTCACAGTGGCAGTTCCGAGGGTGGAATCCTTCGAAGCTGTCAAACATTGAAAATAAACAATATAATCTTCAGAACAATGAAAAAAAAAACAGCCATAAGGCACGCAGATCGTACACAACCTACACAATAACTGTGTGTGCGCTGAACTACGAATTAGATGAAATATAACAAAGGGTCTTCCCTAATGTATTTGAATGGCATTTTACTCGTGCGTGCAACACAATCCATGGAATGCTCATTAACAGGAAAAAAGAATGAAGCACTACTGCTGGATCACGCACTGTACTCGCTCTCTATTGGGCATAATCCATGGAATGCTCATTAACAGGAAAAAAGAATGTGGCAATACCTGTCTCTGAAAGCTGAAGCTTCATTTTTGCTTTGACTCTCTCAGCAGGAGTCTGCAAGAACATCAACAGCTCATCACTCCGAAAATACCACAGGTAAACAACACTGCTGCACAATCGCACAGTTACGAGGCAGTAATTGAAAGATGGAACCAACCATCCTATCGTATCCTTCAATGAGCCTTGAGTAGTCCACTTTACCGCCATCCGTACCGCCGCGCCCCTTCGAGCTATGACGGCTCTGGCCGCCGTCGTCGCGCCGCCGATCCCCATGCCTGTCACGCCGGCCTTCGGCATGTGAGCTCCTGCCACTCCGGCGAAACGGCGAGCGCGACCTCGACCTAGGCCGGTGGTGCGACGCCCTGCGGTCCCCCCTCTCCCTCGACCTCGACCGGCGCCTCCGCTCCCTCGACCGGGACCTAGACCTTGACCGGCGCCGGCGCGAGCGAGACGGGGACCTCGACCGCGGCCGAGGACGGGATGGGGAGGGCGAGCGAGAGCGACGGCGCTGGCGGGGCGGGGCCTCGGGAGGCAGAGACGGCCTGGTGGGGGTGGGGGTGGCGCCGGCGCGGACGAAGCCGGAGAGGAACGAGGAGGAGGAGGTGGTGGAGGGCTTGGATGGGAAGGAGGCAGGTTGGGGATCGTCGGAGGAGAAGCCGAGACCCTGCTTGAAGCGGCGGGCGCCCTCGCCCTTGCGGTTGAGCTCGTCGTAGTACGCCGCCGCCTTCTCTTCCTCCATCCCGCTGGTCGGGACGCCGGCGAGTGGGCTGGGTTTACTCTTTGTTCTTTTCTTCCTACTTTTTTTTGAGATTTTCTTTTCTTCCTAGTTTTTTTTTCTTTTCTTCCTAGTACTAGGGAGATGCTTGGGCTGGGCTCAAAACCAAACGCGATAGGGCTTGGGCCCATACAGTGGGCTGGGTTTACTCTTTGCTTTTCAAAGACTCAAAGCCCAGCTCGCGCTTCGCGGCCGCGGCCCGCTCTCGTCTCCGAGTCGAACCAGGGAGAAGCAGAGGAGTAGGATCGGGACACCGGACCAGGAATAAAATCGGGTAGCCACCTCCCTTGTATGCACGACGTAAATAAGTTTTGTTATATATCTCGTTGGTGCCGTCTGCGGTGCAAGAGCGGATCGACACGAGAACACGCCCGTCGATCAGCCATGTCGTCGTGCTGGTCGTCGGTGCTGGCCGTCCTCGGCGGCGCGGTGTCGGAAGAGGAGGCGCAGATGCGGGGCAGGTTGCTGGCCGTCAAGGAGGCCGTGGCGTCGGAGGCGGAGGCGGTCGAGAACCTAGAGGAGGAGGTGAAGGCCCTGGAGCGTGCCCTGGCCGCGGCGGAGACGGAGAGGGAGGCGGCCGAGGCGAGGAGGCGGGAAGCCGAGGAGCGCACGGAAAAGGCCGTGGCCGAGCTGCGGGCCGCAGAGGAGGAGCACGAGGGCCGCGTGGAGGAGCTGCTGCTGACGGCGGAGCAGTCGGACGAGGCGGACGCGCGCATCCGCGAGCGGGAGGAGATGATCAAGATTATCACCGGCATCACCAGCAATGAAAGGAAGCAGCGCTTGTTCTCTTAGCTTAATCAAGCTTTGCTAAAGCAAGAGGAAGAGACATGGTATACTTTGAGGTGTTATTACATCAAAATACTCCTGTAATTCAAACAAAGTATTACCACTGTTTGTAAGTATCAAACGTTTTATGAGTTTAAATTGAACTGCCAAAACATCTTATATTTACGAACAAAGGGTGGACTTGTTGCTCAATGTGATTATGTGAATCATCGTCTAGAAACTCTCGCTTTTGGAATGGATTATTAGAGGTTAAGACTACCCGCAGTGGAAGTAACATAGGTGATAACATCACACTTATCTAGGCAAAATAAATGATGTGGCATGTAATTAATGAAGAAAGAGAGGCATGCGGTAATATGGCTAGTTACTGTAACATCACACATATTAAGAAAAGATGAGTCTATAACCTAATAAATGAAGTGATGCATGACACAACACATATGTTACTACCCATTGTGGAGATAGTAACATATAGAGTAGTAACATACGTATGTTACTACTCTAAGTTACTCCCCATTGTGACTAGTCTAAGGACATACTATTGCAACTGCAAAATGTTAAAATTTCGTGTCACACATTATGTGTGCAAACTGTGTTCGTTTGGATTTGTAATTAGCATAGGGTTAGGTGTTTGAATCAAACATGTGTCACCCAGGACTAATATAAAAGCACCGCGGGTAGCCAAATAGACTAGACATAAGTTGTAGACTAAGACAAATCATGAGAGGAACGATCTCGACGCCCATGTCAAGGGTAGCCGGACTGGCCATGGCGGGTTGTCGGAGCGTTGACGGCATCGGCTTATCCTCGGTTGTACTATGTTGATTTAGTACATGAGGAGCATCCATGTTCATGCCCGAGAATAGTTCATTATGATAAAAAAAAATACTAGGTTCTGGAGGGTATATGTTTTTTCTTTTGAGTTCCCGAAGGATATATGGTTAACCGATAAACCTCTGTGTCAATTATCTCCAAAAATAAAAAGTTTCCCCGCAGACATCATGTTACTGTACCTAGAAATTTTAGGCAAAACTTTGATCGTGTTCATTTTCAGAGTATCGAATTTTTTACCACGCCTTTCAGGAATGTATTTCCATGATGAAAGTTTGCAAGCTCTTAGAACATTTGCCACAAATTCTTTTTTAAAAAATAATAATTTTATTGTTCACCTGAGCTCAGAGAAACTCCACTTCCTGTTGACCCACACTATAAGACCAGTACATGTACAACAGGCAAAGAAACACAGGGATCACTTCATTCGAACCTTGAAAAAGGTGTCTGAATGAAAAAGGGGCCTGAATGATGAAAGTGGCTATTCTGAGGCCAAGCTCATCTACACCTGCATATGAACAGTAAATTCATAAGAAAAACTGACTCCTTTTCGGCATCCAAGATGCTTATATGTGCGTAAAAGGTACATGCAAATTTTCGTGGTGCTAGAACATTTGAGGAGGTCGTGACAAAAATACAAATTTTGATTCTCAAAGAAACTTTGAAGAACACACATGAGCTCTTTTTTTTGGCATGAGCTCCTCAAATGTCATTTGAGCACATACTTTTGCACACTCCTAGAAAACTCGAGCAACTTGGATGGAAAAAAATCAGTTTTTGTTGCTATTTTTTTTTGAATTTACTGTTCATCAGGAGCATCTGGCCTGGACAGCGTTGCGGATTCCCCCCTGAGTGACCCCTTTCATAAAAGGGAAACCGTTTGTAATACCGACGGGGCCAAACCCGAAACTACACTCAAATAGTTGTTTCAGTTAGATTAGTATAAGACGATTACTATCCTGACAACAGAAAAGAATGGAACGTTGCTTGGCTCTGCTGGACGTGTTGGATCTCATATAAGAAGCTCGCTCTTTCTTTTTGAGAAACTTTCAATTCATTTTTAATCATGGTAGTATAACGAACACCAGAAATGACAAAAAATTACATTTAGGTTCATAGACCACCTAGCAATGACTACAAGCACTGAAACGAGTCTAAGGGGCATCACCGCTATCGCTCCTCCCTTGCCGGAGTTGGGCACAACTTGTTGTAGTAGACAGTCGGGAAGTCATCGTGGTAAGTCCCCATAGAACCAACGCACTAAAAAGCAACCGCCGCCTATGAAGAGAAGTTTAGATCGGAAGGATCCAACCTGAAGACACATGAACAAAGACGAATAAAGAGCGGATCCGAGCAGATCCACCAAAGACAACCACTGACCAAATCTCGCGAGATCCGCTGGAGACACACCGCCACACGCCCTCCGACGATGCTAGACGCACCACCGGACGGGGGCTAGGCGGGGAGAACTTTATTCCATCTTCAAGAAGCTGCCGCCGTCTCGTCTTTCTGAGCAGGACACAAATCCAACAAAACTCGAAGAAGCACATAAAAACGGAGCCCTCCCGCCGAGAAAGGCCGGAATCCACCGCGCACCTATGGCCCTAAGGCCACACGAGACGTGGCAGATTGGCGCCGCTGCCACCGGAAGGCAGAAAATCCTTAGAAGATCGCTCTTTACCCGATTATTCAAACATTTTGTGGGCAGCGCAAGCTCTATTGTTGCGTAGCAATATAAGCCTGCTCATGCTTGCTTTGGCGGTGCTTTCTCGCTTGGGGCGGGATAGTAAAGAGCTGATTCTAGGGAAGGCTAGTACGGGAAATACACTTTGAAACCTAGTTGTATATACACCCTATATGAAGAATTTTCTTTAATAATTAAACAAAAGTCAAAATAGTTTAGAAGTATTTTAAAAATAAATTTGACTTTCTTTTGCACTTGTATATAAATTTTCAGGAAAATAACCCAACGTTCACTTCAGGGCAAAAAAGATAAAAATTATTTGCTATTATAGGTCACTATCCACACTATTTTAGTCAAAAAATTGTCTTTTTTGAAAAGAAGTCAAAGGGCATTTTATTTTTATGGATTTTTTCTCATCAGTATAATAGAAGGTCAAGTTTATTTCAAAAATATTTTTAGATTTTTTTAACTTTTTATTGAATTACTAAGAAATATATTCATATAGAGTGTAGATACACCCAAGAACCAAACGTCCGCGTCCAGGCTAGTACTCCCTTCTATAGTGAAGAGTTGGCTGACGGCTCTGGCAAGGCCGAACAGCCATGGATTCGAGGTTAGGGTGTTCCAGCCTTCCAGAGAGCGGGAGCAGCAGCAGAGCAGGGTGGAATCGAGGGTTTTGACCATGGTTTGCATCAAGACTCCAAAAAGCCCGCGTATTTTCACCACAGAATGAGGGTGCCAATCAGAATAACCTCTGTTCAAGAATTCATCCGATTAACCAATTAACTTGCCGATTAATCCCTACTCATAGGGTCACCGAGTAGCCGATAAACCGAAAAATCGTCCGATTAATTGATTAGATGGCCGATTAACTTGCCGATTAGCCGATTAATCCCCTACTCGCTAGCCAACCGAGAAGCTACCAGTTAACGATTTCCTCAACAATGAGAATAACATCAATCAGCCAAATGTACATAGAGACTTTGTGACAGAAAGAGCGATATATGTCCTTCGTGCTGCAGAATGCTAGGACATTGGTTCTCACCACTGCTATGATCTACTAAAATTCAAGGTCCATGAAAGAAAAGTTGTACATAAAACCGAACGCACTTACAGAGGAATACACATGACATAATTGTTATGCAAGGGAACAGTTGTCAAATCACGCCTCCACGGCAGGCATAGATCATTGAGTTGTAACTTTAACCTTGTTAACAAGCTCTGCTGCTGCACGGGCGGCGGCAGAGGCACGGGTGGCTGCAGCAATGGCAGCTCGGGCCTTTTCTAGCACGTCCGACGAGCCTGGACCAGCATAGGATGATCTCTCCGCAGCAGGGGGCTGATGCTCTTGACTGTCCACATTACCCTTGGTGGCAGCATATGCTCTTGAACTCACAGCAGGTGACTTTGGGGACTCGGGAGTTTTGTTTTTGCTTGTGTCGTTGACAGGTAGAATCAATGGCTTATCTTTGGAAATGGAAGAGGCTGGAGAGCTCTCAGTTGTAGGTGTTTGGACTTGGCGGACTGATGATCCTGAATCGTCCTGCAGACAAGCACATAACAAATGAAGTGATTTTCTAGTTTTTCAGATGAGCTAACTGTAGACATAAACAGAGGCTTGAAATAAGTTCTCTGATTTCTTTGTTGCTATTTTTGAGGCGTCTGTGACTTCTTTTTTTATTCTTCCTATAACTTTCCTTAATCAATTGCACCAAACAGTTCAAAATGTTGTCCCCCAGTCTTCCAGGTAAGCAACCGAAGAACTTTGTAGCATCAAGACATTATGTCCGTAAACCCTCAGCTGTCACCGTATAAGAATCAGAATCAACCTATACACTGTAGACTTCTACATAGCAATAGACATCTTCTGTGAACAAGGACTACTGAGGCAAGGATGGGACCAAACAATGATACATGAAGGGAATAGTTTACAAGATATAGATAAAAATAGGTGCACACATAATGCACCCACCATGAAAAACATGAAAGTTAAATCGCAAAAAAAACATTAAAAAGGAACAAAAGGCTTCTTAGTATCTGCAATCATATGTCAGGAAGGGCACGTATGCAGATTCCTTTAAAAAAAATCAACTGAAACACTAGTGAGTGGAGTTTTAAAATGTCAGTGTATCCATGTCAAGTCCATCGAGATGTTAAAATGAGCAGTTCTTCCAGCATGACAGTTTATTTCATTTTAGGAAGTAGTGATAGAACACATAATTTTAAAGCTCGCTTATGAAACAGTACATCCATTAGCATTATGTCTAATAATTAGGAAATAAACAAAAGGATAGCATATATTACCAGCAGATCTTCATACTTCTTGTTAAATTCTGCTTCGGTATTAGATGAATCCCAATCAAGGTTGTACTCGTGAGCAATAGCTTTCAAAACCTTCAACTTTGATTCCGCTGATGGAGCCTTAACTGAAAGCTTCTCAATTATCTGCATACACAATGCTCAAATAGTGAAATTGCACAAGACGCTTGATTCGCAAGCAACATAACGTGGATTTCTGAAGGAAAGATTATATCGGAGATCTTCTTACTGTGCGATTAACACCGCAATCAGGGCGCAATTCCATAGCAGCAGCAACAAACTCCTTCCCATACTTGGTGGTAAACAAATTACGGAGATGCATTAGCTCAGGCAAGTCTGAGCATCTTCCTGATGCAAAGATTATACTAGCTATTGCTTCTCTCAATTCTATGGGGCATTCCCTGTTCCATCATAAAACCAGTAGCTGTTAATCATATTCTATTAAGTGAGAGAAACAAAGAATTGTGATATCTACATAGTAACATGTATTTTAGTAAGATCAGATTTGATAAATCACTACCTACTTTTGGGCCTCAACAATAGGGACTCGTGCCAGAACAAATTCACAGAAAAGCTCAACAATCTCATAGGCAGCCAATATATTTTGCTCCCGAATAATATGCTCCACCTATTATTAATAATGGCATCTTAGAGAACTGCATGAAGGAGAAGATCGGAACCTTGGGAAACAAATATAGCTGTAAATCTAAGTTACCCGAATCCTCGCAATAGACTCCTGGCCTGTCTGAAGATATTGAACCATCTCTTTGCGCATATTTATCAGTTGCATCTCCCTCCTATTGCGCAGCAGCTTGATCCTCGAAATGATCAAATTCAAGCATGTTTTGCTACACAAAGTTGGGAACTTCTGTTAATTATGGGCATAAATAAAGCAAGACTGCCTCTCCGGTAACAACATAAGAGCGGTATGAAACATGGAATGGTTATGGTAAGAATTGACTAGTACTCCCTCCGCTCACAAATATAAGATGTTTTGGATATTTCAATATGGAGTACATATGGACCGAAATGAGTGAACAAACACACTAAAATGCGTCTACATCCGAATCAGAAAAAAAGTTAGAACAACTTATAGTAGTGAACAGGCTGAAGTCGATGGATTCTTTTATTACTCCTATAGTAACTGTAAACTGTTATGCAAAACCACCATGGGACCCAGTGGAGATAACACGCAGATACTTGTATTTGTTCAGTTTTGTTAGCTCAATCCAGTTCTGGTGACTTTTATACTCATATATGCCATGTATCAAACGAAACTGTCATAAGATTTTTGCAATATTGAGCCTGATATGGATCATGTTACCACTTCAAAATTTTCCTACGAAGCTCTAATATACCCCATCCAGCAACAGTAATTCACCGCCCAAGGATCCAGATGCCCTAGTGCTACCTTTTCCCCATCGCCACACAGGCCATCCGCCGAACATCTTCCTGAGCAGAATTCTAAATCTAGAACTCCTAATAATCACAGCGAAACCCGCCGATCCTAGGATCGCTGACGAAAACCGATAATAGGAACTGTAGGAAAAGCGGGTAGTGATGGGATCTGAGAGGGAAGCGAACCATTTGGTGCCGAAGGGGGAGGAGCGATTGAAGAGCGAGTTGAGGGACGACATCGTCAGTGCCGGCCGCTGATCCACCTGACCCGGCGAAGACGAAGACGAAGGGGAAAGAAGCTGTTCCGTGTATATTTGCAGGTGTGCCCCTTTACTTGATTGTTTTTATAGTTTACACCATACGCCAGATCATTTTTTGCCCCATCTCTATCTCTACTATTAAAGCACAGTCGCTAGAGCAATAGAAGATGCAGATGCAAAAATAACTAACATATACGTTTTCGAGGCCAAAAAACGCTGCTCTAATAGATTATGCAGATGCCATCACCTCCTCCAAATAATGTAAAATACAACACTTGGAGATTCAAATTTGCATCTCCACCTCCTAGTGATCAGTCGCGCATCAAGCACCCAACCGTTCATTTAGTTTTTGTTCGCCCGCCAGCCCGCCGCCGGCGATTTCTGCCTGTAAACGCTGCCGCCGTCGCCCGTTCGTCCATCCCCGCCCCTGTCGCAACCCCGCCGCCAGCTGCGCCGCCCTAGCCGCCGACGACCCACCGAGAAAGAGTAGGACATGGGAGACAATGAGGCCTCGACTACCGTGAGTAGGTGCATGGCCTAGCCTACTCTACCTCGTTGGTGGCCGGACCAACATTTGAGCGGGCGCAGCCGCTGGACATGGGCACGGCGGAGCCAAACGGGCCTAGCTTTAGATTAGATTTCATGTGCATGTAATAATATGGATATGAGGATTTGCAAATGGGGTATCCGGCAATGAAAACTATTTTTGTTGTGTTGTTCGGTCAATACCCGCGGATGCGTCGGGGGGCATTTGGGGGCCAGATTTTGCTACTTCTGGATGTAGATGCTCTAATAAACCGAACACTAGATTAAAAGTGCTCTTCTAATCCAGAGCTCAAATGCTCCTCTATGAATAGTAAAGTAAAAAACAAATTATTTTGGAAGTCTTTTACAATAAATTGCTTAGTTTTCTTATTACTACATGCAATTTTTTATGATGAAATGATATTCTTTGAGGCCTGAGAAAAAAAATAGTCTTTTTGGAGCTTCAATTTTTTTCGCCCACGCTTCTTCATGAAAATTTGCACATATCTAGAACAGTCAACAATGTTTGGTGGAAAAAATCCAGAATTTTTTAATTGCTTAATTTTTTTTATGTTTACTGTTCACGAATGTGCATTTGAGCACGGGAGCAAAAAGTCCACGCCCTAGATGGCTAACTTTCTTGGCTCGTGTCGCTTCAAGAACACCAATCTTCATTGTCTCTTCCGTAGGAACAGCAGAATCCATGACGCAAGTTTACTTTTGTTCTCTCGATGCCCTGGAAATGCTAAATGAAAAATGGTGTTCACAATTAACAACTAAAACATCAAAGAACAAAAAGACAACAAATACATAGCCCCTGCTAACGGCATCAAATAGCCGACTGCTAACAAATTAATGAAAACGTGAAACTGGAGTTCCAGAAAATGGGGGAGAAAATCTCTGTACAGCATGTTCCTGAAACTAAGCAGCAGAGAATTCCATGCTCACCTAATTAAGTGAAGGCCTCAGACACTGAGTTTTTTTATTTGATTCATCCAATATTAAGTGGACCAGAATGGTGCCGATCAACGAAACCATGCATTTCCCAAAAAAGAAACGAGACAATGCACAATGGTATTCAACAGTGTGAATCCAGCCACGAAATGATGTCCTTGATGGCGGTTGAAATCCGGTCATCAGGCTCTCCCTCTAGGATAGAGTGGTAGGCACCTTCATAGAGCTTCAGGGTCTTGTCTTTCGTGTTGGCCTTCTCGTACAGAAATTGACTCACACGAGGGTCGGTTACCTGGTCTGCTGCTCCATGAAGAATCAACAATGGAGAACAAATCTGCAACATGTACAAAGTGTTCTACATTTTAGGTACTCCCAGAATAAGAAGAAATGACAATGGTTGCTTCTTGATTCAGGTGATGCTCAAATAACATTGAGAAGGAAATCAGGTACATGAGAAAAAGGTGCAAATGGTACTGACTTTTTCCAATTGGGATTCGATGTCCTTTGTAGCCTTCAAAAGTTCAACTGCTGTCCTCAACCTCATCTGGTCATTATATGATATCGCGTTGTACTCACACTGAGAAGTGAAAACAGAGATGATCATGATCTATAGCATTTCAGTATTTCAACCAGCCATGTTATACAATTCCTTTTAAAGAGGCTCATTGTTGCAATAAGTTATCTGATTACAACAAAAATGTGCACTAGAGGGGCAAATGTAGAAAAACCAAGTACCTTGCCACAAATGAACCAACGAATGTGGAATATTATTAAGTACAAACAACTAAGACAGGTGCCACTACTTGGATAATGTGCGACATACTAGGTATTGCATTGCCTTGAAACAAACCAAGTTGAAGAATAAAAGGACATGGTCAAGGTACTTACTAATTTTCTTTTCACTGGATCCCTGAATCCCAAATCTCCTATGTCCTTTTGCGGAAATAACTTTGCTTCTGGAAGAAGGCATGATAATATGCTCAATGCCTTCAACACTAGCGCTGGTGGTGTTACATCTTCTGAAATCTTGCCAAATAGAAGTCAGAGCTTTCTAATAAAGATTGTGAATGCACCCAATGTCATTAGTTCAAATAGATGCAACAATAGTATAAAGGAGGTCCTCCATATAACTTTTTTGTTGATAAATACAGTATCACTTTATTCTGATTTTCTGTTCATGCATGATCATAACTGGTTGTTATAACACGAAGTAAAGATGGATGTCTTGCAGATTGCTACTGTATATTCAAGTAAACTTTAAATTTACTTGACTAAGTTAGTATCATCAAGTGCTGACTCAACGCAATTAGATTAATACAGTTACAAAAGCATAAGTTGCCATCAGAAAGGTTGTAAACACTAAACAGTGGCTTAGCTCCAAACAAGAGAATGTAATGCGATGCTAGATTTGATGAGTTACATTTAGAGTTTTATAATGCAGCTTATCTCCAGACAAGAGAATGTAATGGGATGCTAGATTTGACGAGTTTCATCAAGAGTTCTTTATTTACCTTGCACATAGGCGCAACAAGAAGCACTCCATCCCATTCTTTTGGTTGCTTTAAGTGTACTTTCAGAGCAACCGCACCTCCCATTGACTGCCCCAAGAGAAAGTGTGGGAGCCCTTGCACGTCTTTCCTTCCTAAACATTAGAATTCATTGCATTATGATGAAAATATTATATTGTTCCACAGAAGATATATTCCTCATTTACAAGAAACATCCATCAGAAACCTCTTATTCTTGCATATTGTTCAATGACATGGTCGACCATTCCATCGAAGCTTGCGATGTAGCCATGAAGACCATAAGATAATCCAAAACCAGGATAATCCATGGCATATACTGCATATCCAGCAGCAGCTATTCTCTTAGCGACCCCTGATATTTCCAAGCTAGTAAGATATAGATAAAGAAAAAGGTGAAGCAAAGAGAACTCAACAGGGAACATAACAGAAGAGTAATCACCTTCAAAAAAGAAAGTGCAGGTATCTCCATACCCATGGCAGAAGAAAAGCGCTGCCTTGGTGGGAGTGCCCTCCCTAGGCAGCCAACTCTTCCAGAATATTTCAACCCCCTTTGAATTGGTCTCAAAATTCTACAGAAACGGGCACTACCACTTAAGGAAAAGAAGCTATAAAACAGTTCATAAAGATTCAAAGTGCCTGCTAATGTTAGTTTCGTTTTTAGGCTAGCTGCAAGTAACACAATCATGCCGCTCCTTGCAGTTCCTTAGTTTCTCAATACTCCATGGGCGTGTACCTGATATTACTAGCTTAAGATACCGGTCTTTTGATAGATGCCATCTTTCCAGCTTTACAATAGGAGAAGATGTTTGTGTCACTGTCTCACAGATACACTTGTGTAACAGATATATTGCATTTCCGCCAGGGAACTACTTGAACCAAATACAAACAGCCTGTATACAAGGGAAGGTCAATTCAGAATCCCCATCATGTTTACCTCCTCCATCTGGATTCCCTTGGGCGCCATCTACAGAATGAGAAGTAGGAGACAAAAGGTGAGAAAGTAAAGACCAACAGACATCGCATATCAATTGGAGATAATAGGGATTGAATATTCGGAGATCATATCAACAATACCGAAGAAATATGTTGCAACCCTCAGATGACATACATACGCTACAGAACCTATCACCTTCGGAACAAGATCGTGGCTCAAGCAACAGAGCAACTACATACAATGTGCATTCAAGTGTAGTGCTGCCCATTTGCTTATCGCAAACCTAGACACGAGTGGCGCAGACGCAGTACAACTATACAAAACAACACGCACGTTCCGAAATCATGAGTAATTTCAGATCAGAAATGGCACTGCGTGTGAGTTCTAGTCTCGAGTCTCGACTACTGGGCGGCTTGAAACATGTTTGACTACTTTTGACCATTCGGATCCTTCACTGAAGCAAGCACGTGGTGAGCTAGTGAAAGAGGATCAAACACAGCCGCCCCAAGCAAAGGGGGACAGGGAGCAGAGGCGGGACCTTGAACAGGCAGTGGTCGAGCGTGGGGAGCACGGGCGCGAAGGCGCCGCGCACGCGCCGGCGCGCCGGCGCCCAGTCGAGGCTCTGCGCCGCGGCGGCCCTCAGCTCCTCGCTGGCGCCCTCCAGCCGCGGCAACGGCGCCTTGCCCGCGGCGACCGCGACCGACGCGCGCCTCACTCTCCCCGGCCGCGGCGCCCCGGCATGGCGCGGCCCCGCGACGCGCTGCAACTGCGAGATCGCCGCCAT